TTTCAAGGGTAAATGCTAGTGGAAATCGGACAAGGGGTAGTGATGATCTTGGGCGAAGATCAAGTGTAACAGTATATAACTTATATTAAATTATATGATAAAAATATTTTTTTTTTAATCACAAAATTTTATATAGCATTTCAATTAAAAAATATTTTTTTTAATAAAATCCATTATATTAAGCTTATATCAATATTAAAAACAAAAATTTATTTTTATTTTATATTACTATTATGATTTATTTATAATTCATTTGTTATGTTTTAAAATTATATACTGTATAATTGTGTATTTTTATTTGATACAATTTCAAAATATAATTTATTAAACAATTGGATTAAATTGTAAATAAATAATTTTTTTTTAAAAAAAAAAAAAATAAATTTTAAAATATTATTTTATATCATATAAATTTTAAATTTTATTGTATTTTTTTTCAATTAGTTCATTGATTTTTATTTAGGTGATCGGTTATTTTATATAAATCGCAATTTACGTGCACAGCTCTGCATATCGTTATTGATAATGATCATAAAAGTCGTGTTTTTGGTCAATAAACGTTCGAACGAAACCAATAATGCGACGAAAAATACTAGATTGAGAATAGCCATTGAGGATCCATTTTCAGCACAATTTTCATTGATAGAAAGCATTAAAACTTATGCATTTATTAGAAATATGCACCTACTTCATTATGATGACGGTGGATATAATCCTATCGCATTTACAATGATGTGTTAACAATTTATGACCTTTAATTTGTGAATATTCCTTATGTGCGAATAACTATAAAGTCTCGACTTCTGAAGCTATATTTCTTCGATCAAATTTTTCCTTTTGATTTCTTTTTGCTTTAACATTCTTCCTACTCTTTATCATTATTTCTATATTGTTCTTTTATCATTCATCACTCTTCCTAACTTCTTTTCACTTACATTATGCGCGTCACCAAATTTCTTTCCGTCATTCGTGTCTTTTATCTTATGACACTTATGTGGAATGTTAATGCGTATAAGCGCTTGACCACAACCACTTTGACCAGTCATAAAACCTTGGTAGTCTGCGACAATTCTCATTCCACGTATCCTTTTGCTTGCCGCGACCATGCAAGCTCTAGCTATACTAGCTCTTCAAGCTCTCTTAACCATCATAAGATACATAAGATACATACAATAACCGTAACATGCTTTCCCACTATGATTGTTCATTGCGCTTCTACGACAACTATGCATAAAAAAGATAAGAGAGCGATTTCTTTAACCCCAACTACCTCAACCCTAATCTTTACTGCAACCTCAACTACTTCAACCCCAATCTTTACTGCAACCTCAACCTCAACTATTTCAACCTCAACCGCAACCGTCAAACAGCATAAAGGTATTGTTAAAGTGTTTGGTTGATTCCAATTGCATCGTGTGGCATTTTTACGAGGGATACTGTCAGATGTTCCCGGGGTCTAAAGATAAAGTTGTGCATAGATATGCGAATGAATCTGAAATTATCCGTCGCAAAGGTCATTGAGCATTGGCGTGCCTAAATGTAGTATAACATTTTTTTTTGTAAACCCCTAAATAGATGAGTTTCTTTCATTATTTTTATTCTTATTTTCATTAGTTATTTTTTCATTATTATTGTTGCTGTTTTTATTTTTTGATGTTTTTTTATTATATAAATATTAGCATAATTTGGTCGAAAGAGATATTCGGGTACAAAAATTATACGTCCAAACATCTTAACTACAAATAAATAAAAGTTCATGAAAATATATTTTTTATTAATAGTACTAAAATGTTATTTATTATACGGTATCTGAGCTGTTGCCAGTAATCCGAAACTTTTCTTAACAGGATTTGCGCATTTGAGTTTTTTAGATTCTTTTGCTTTTTTTAGTGTCTTGTTTGTTAGAAATTCTGATGCTTTATTTTATAAAATAAAAAGTTTATTTTTTTTCATTTCACACCAATATTGTAATTAGTATTGATTATTCAGTTGAAAATTATTAAAGTTATGATACAAAAAAATTTGCTATTTTTTTATTACCATTTGCTTTAATTTTCAGATATCACATATACCAAAGTTGTGATTAATATACTGTATAACATATTAAATAATAACTTTATTTTATTATTTTTTTTTTTGTTCAATATCAATTTTTTGTTAAATCATAACATATACCATTCAATAATGACATTGTCTTGTGTTTTATAAAAATATCATTTTTTTTCTAATACTTGTAAATATGCATTGTACTATCATATATTGTAGATACAGTATACAGTATGAGTCATATATTTTTGGAATTTTTTTAACTTTGTATTTTATCTTAATATTAAATAAAAAAATCAT